GAAACAAGTGTAAAGTGGGAAAAAAATACAAAAAAACGGGATTTGGGAAATGAATGTAACACCCTGTGTTACATCCTCTTCATAATGAGAGAAAATTCAAAGTGTAAACTAAGGGTAGCTCTTAATACGGATATTTTTTGCTAGAAAGAATGAAGGGAAGTAAACACATTTTCCAATTTAAAATACGATTCTAAATGGCAGGTGCACTAAGTCCACAAGCGTGCAACGGGCGATCGTATCTTTTCCACTAACAATCCACACGGAGGTGCTTCCATTATAAAACAAATCATTGAGATAATAAATAAAATTGAGAATGGAAATGGGGAATGTGTCAAAGAGACAACAACCCGACCATAGAACAGACAACAGCAGAAGGTCACCAACAGGTCTTCAATGCAGCGAGAAATTAACGCACCCGGAGGCGTCCTTCAGCTGGCCCCTAAACAAATATATACTAGTTCAGTGATAATGAACGCCATACTAAACTCCAAATTGTACACAAGAAACTAAAATTAAAAATAATACAAGACTAACAAAGGCTAGAGGCTCCTGACTTGGGACAGGCGCAAAAATGCGGCGGGGTTAAACATGTTTATGAGATCTCAACCCTCCCCCTATACATGTACCTCTAGCCAATGTAGAAAAGTAAACGCATAACAATACGCACATTAAAATTCAGTTCAAGAGAAGTCCGAGTCTGATGTCAGAAGATGTAACCAAAGAAAATAAACAAAATGACAATAATACATAAATAACAACAGACTACTAGCAGTTAACTGACATGCCAGCTCCAGACTTCAATTAAACTGATTGAAAGATTATGTCTTCATCATATGAATAAACAATGTTTCAAACCATGCAAACTCTAGGTTATAAGGCGCCCTCTAAAATGTTTAACCAAGCCACATTATATATGTGCCACTCCTAAATCAGGAGCCTGCAATTCAGTGTTTATTGTCGCTTGTTATTGTATATTGTTTTTATTTTTCGTTTAATATTTTGTACATATATCAGGCCGTTGGTTTTCTTGTTTGACTTGTTTAACATTTGGCATGTCGGGACATTTTATATCTTGATATACGGCATGGGTTTTGCTCATTGTTGAAGGCCACACAGTGACCTATAGTTGTTACAGTTAACTACTACATCATTTGGTCTCGGGTGCATAGTTGTCTTACTGCCAACACATCTTACCACATCTCCTTATTTTTACCTTGGATATAAAAGTTTGTAACATGAATGGTAAATTTTGCTTTGATCTTCTAGTGAGTTAACTTCAGTTATTTTTAGAGGAGTGCGTTAACTGAAATTTCTTTTTAGTTATTTCACTCTCCAATCCCGCCGTTGAGGACTTCTCGTTTGAATAGCATAGAATGGGAGAAGCTTAAACCAGTGCATTAACTTCTATCTCAAAAGTTGTTAATGCACAGTCTGGCTCCGCCTCATTGGGGTAGTAATTAGGGAGCAACCGTTTAACTTCAAGGAGGGGGGGGGGGGGGGGGGAGGGTATGGTTTTTTGTCCGAGTCGGAATTTTATTTAGTTTATCAACACTATCAATCAAAATATTTTTTCAATATTTAACACTATAAGCTATTGGGAAAATCTGGATTCAGATTTTTTTTGTCATCTGCTTGACCAGAATATTTTTTTTCATCAAATTGGGGATCAGAACATTTTTTTAGAAACAACCATGGATACCTGTTTTATCGTGTCCAAATTAATAATAGTCTAAAAAATATATGGCACTTGATGTTTAGTAATTTTCTTTATTTCATAAAGGTCTATATTTCCGTGTATTGATCATGCTTCAAACATTTGTCCCTGGACCTTACACGCATTCAGCACGCAACCATTGCAATCAATTAACCGATCTTTTCCCAGTTATTGGGAATGAAAGAAGATTATTTTGAATTACCTTCATAATTGGTATTAGGAAATGTTTCCTTTTAATCACAACGTCCTTTGAAACTACACGTCTTTTTTCGGGCAAATAAACATACTATTAGAATAAAATTTTGCATTACCCCGTCACCTCCTCCGTTTTTTCAAGAATTTTTGAGAAGAAAAAATATTCAACAACTCATAAATGACTATCGAGTATGAATCCCACGGCAACAATTCTTTTAATTTTAAACGTACCTTTTTCGGACATACAAATCCAATTGACATCTGCTGCATGTGTTAATTTTCTGGAAATCAGATATAGCATCACGCCACTATTTGATTGACATATCGAAAAGTGCAGTAAAGTTTTATTGATCAGGATTTAACCTTTGACATGTGTCATAGCCCATTAATGTTACAAATCATATATAGACACGCCTTACTCATTAACATATTTAATTCACTCAAAGCTACGCTTTTCGTGAATTAAATAAGTTAATTCGTAAAAGGCGTGCTATATATATAACTTGATAGCATGTTTCCAATGTAGATGATGCAAGTTAAAACAATTTTCAGAATCATGTATGTGATACACTTTGAGGGTGTTAGCCCGAATGGGTGTATCTAATGTACACTACGATATTATTGTCAATGCAGAATGATAGTTTTCAATAATTTAGGAGGGGATCTTTCAGCGATTTAACCATATGTTATTGAAAAGCATGAGAAATGCAGGGTATCCAATTTCATTTAACGACGTCTTGGTGTAAATACCATGATAAGAGTTTTTGAATTTGAAATTCGATGGCGAGTATTATAGATGCTTTCATGTACGTAATGTTGAACATGACATGGCATTGAAGAATCTGTACGAATATAATGTATTGATTTTATTAATAAGCTATTTTTCCACGTAAAATTGATCATATAGTTTCAAGTAAATTCAATAACTATTTGTTTAAGTCAGACAACAACGATTAATCTTGACCGGAAGGGTTGACTGGGGTAAAGAAATATTGTAATCACCGGACATCTCCCGTACGGACCCGGCAGTAAAAGCTTACTTGCCAAATGAGCTTATGTTTGGCTATGAAATATGTTTAAATACGCGGCAATGTACTGTTGGATTTGGACGGTTCAATGCCTTGTGTAGGGTGAAGGTCAAGCTTTCGCCATGTAAAAATCCCTTGTAACAACTTCCTTAAGGGTCCGTTGGTTGCGTGTTGCGAGGGAAAAATTATGCCATTATTCAACATACCCCCCAAAAACAGTCTAACTTACTTGTCTATTATTCTGTTAGAAAGAAATCTAAATTTACGTGTTATAGACTATGTGGATTTGATATTAATGAAAAAAACACAGAAGTTGGAAGACTTTAAAGTTATTTGAATGGATTTTCTATTGTACAGACAATAATTTACGGATTTCAAAGCTTTATACATATTAACTACATGTATGTATGTAATGTGATGCTGTCTTCATAAATACTGGCTAAAGAATGATTGATATGCTGTATTTATCAATGGTACAGCAACCTAACGACAAACTATCCCCTTTCAAAGTATAATGAATAACAATCAAAGAAAAGTACTATTTTTAATGCAAGAAAAAAAAAACTGTATTTATTTGAATTTAATTTAGTTTAGGTCTGAATACGTATTCATAAGAGTTTATTTCTGTATACTTTGATGTTCTACATATCCGTCGTGAAACCCATTTACCAATTCCAATTTCAGCATGGCGATTTTTGAGATTTTGAAATTATTAATATATTATAAAAAATATTGACTATCCCATCTTGATTTGTTTCACTCAGTTATGTCCCGAATGTTGATGAAACATAGTACATGTATAATCTAAATTAAAGAAAGTATAAATATTTAACTCAAACAAGTAAGCAAAAGTTTTCCCATTTTTCAATAACAACAATCTAATTGCTAACATTTCTGTTGAAGGCAATTTTGAAATAAAAATAAAAAATGGTACATGTTTGAGTTAAATCTTTGGACTGATTAATTGATTGTTTTTTGCTGACATGGATAAACATTAAAAACATTAATGTATATATACATGTATTCATATTACATCATTATGATCATACTAATGAAGGATATCTGTTATCCGAAATATTTATTGATACTTATATTATTTTACTGTATCCTTTTTTTAATATTGGTGTTGTTTTGTACACTTTTAGGCGCATATATAATTTATTTATTGTGTACACTGCAGTATTGTTTCTCATAACGATAAAGCGTCCTCGTAAAAAAGATCGTTGACTAATTTCTAGATGTTTTATATATATATTTTCTCCCAATTGAAACCTCAATAATGCAAATTTAAAAGAACGCTATCTTTGTTTCTGGAAAATAAAAATACAAAAAAAAAAAAAATAATTCGCATGCAAAACGTACATGTATATTAAAGCTAAATACCTTTCTGCAAGACTAATTCTAACGTTAACAAAATATATTTGTCAAAAGGATATATGCATGTAGTGTGACATTCCAGGCTGAGGGTCTATACTAAGCTGGGAATGTCACATTATATTATCTTGTATTTAAAAAGTGTGCAACATCAACGTTCATATATATGTACAGTGCCTTGAAAATACAATGTAAGAGTAGATCTAGTTCTTTACTTCCTCACTACATTTTGTAACATATGCTGGAACCTATGTCCCCCCCCCTAACTCATACGGAAACACCGCCTAGTATTGTGAAGCTGCTTATCCCCTTCTGTAACTATAGTTGATATCAGGAGGAAGTAAATAATCAGATTTACCCTAACATTGTTCGGTTGATTTTGTAGGTACTATATAATAATCCAATCAGACACATGGTATTTCCTAATCATAGGTATAATTTGCAGTTGTCAATACACATAGTCAAACATATAAATATGCATGTATTTATCAAAACGATCATGCAACCAATAGTTCGAGATAGAAAACTTGAACTACATGATGATTTAATAAGTGAAATAGATCTACATGTACGTACATGTAAAAACTGTCATATTCCTCACAAAATATTAATAAATAATAAATGTAATGGACAGTAACAAGTTTTACAACAATTAATTGTCCAGCGTGGTGGAAACATGCCAACATGTGTCAAATATATCTAGAGACTTGTCCTTTTGATAGATAGCTTTTCCCGTGTATCTGATGAAAAATTTAAATGTTGACACTGTGGTACAAACTGTGATTAACAACTGTCTTTAATACGTCTGTGTGGTTTGTTAACGACATGTAGAATTAGATGTTGAATTATCTCAGTGTTTAGATACAGATAACTACACTGCTGAAGATGACGTCTAAAGGATTTTTCACTAAAAGAGGAATTTTCTTTTTCTTTTGTTTATTAGGTAAGATCGACTATGTTACTTTTAAGTCCGTTATTAATGTCATTATAATCTGGAATTTATAAGTACTATAATTATATATAAATGTACTATACAGAACTAAACTCAGTCTATATATATAACGAAAGCTATGTTGTATATTCCCTACAAGTAGTTGTCCGAGGGTGGTACTGAACACGGTACAGGCGGAGTTGCTAAGATAGAAATATAAGTTCAAATCATGCATGGTCATGGTTTAATCTGCCTATTTTTCATAACTATGTCCCTTTGATATCTTTACTTCCATGTATTTATAACCTATAAAAAGTAAAATGACAAAAAAGTTAACAATTATAAAATTTATACTTTATTTTCAGATTTATTTAAATATTCGATATCGTACAGTGTGAGTGATGCAAATTATCTTCACAACCTGTTATTCAATCAGCCTGGTTACAATAGACTGGTCCTACCAGACTATCCAATTACTGTTAGTGCAGAATACAACATGCTGACTGTTAATTCTTTGGTAAGTTGTCTCCCTTTTTGTTTCCTTCAACTTCGTACCGTATTTGGCCCTTTTAGCTTTCTATTTTCGAGCGTAACTAATGAGTCTTTTGTAGAGGAAAAGTGCGTCTGGCCTACAAACTTCAATCCCAGTTTCTGTGATGAGTTTTTTTCAATTTCGAAAATATGAAATTAAGAATCGAAAAGTGAGTTTAACTTCAGATGGGTTTTTTTCAGGTTCTCTGTGTCTCTATTTATTTCTTGTTCTGCTTTGCTTTTTTATGTGTAATTTGCAGCCGAGTGGCATTGAGGACTCAAAATTCCGAAAGGTTTTGCCAAATGCTGCTTAGGTAATGTGTGTTAAGGGAATCAATTCCAGTAGTCTAGCTACACGCAATATGACCAAGCAACGAATTCAGAATCCATGATTATATCAATTATGAAGTTTAGACGAGATCAATACTTTATATATGGACCTGTTCAGTTTATATTGACCGAGAGCGAAGTCCGAGTGTCAATATATTCTAACAGGTCCATATTTAACGTATTGACTGAGTAAAAGTTCTATATTTATAATTACATATGTAAATAGTGCATGTTTTTTGCAAGATTTGTAATATTTACCGTCAATATACATATACATAGAAGCATAACGTCCATATACTTAAAAATAGAAATAAGGCTTCAGATACACGGAATGTCCTTTGAATCACGTGATCGTAATAACCAATGAAAAAAGAAGAATTCTACACCATTTATGTAATATGTCGAATTATTTTTATAGCAATTTGTTATCCGTTATAACTAACTCTAGATACATAATTCAATATATCCGACATAACAAACATAATCACAATCTTAAATATAAAATCGAAATGAATTGATATGTCTTACATGGGCTATCGTACTTTTTGAAATAAAAATTAACACAAATAGATTGAATTCTCCCTCTTATATAGTCCTATGTTTTCTTAACCAGCTCATGTCAGGTTAATAGCGTCTTGAAGCGGCATAATTTTGACATAACACATGTACAAAAAAAAAATATATCCGACGTATCAGACACACATATACGTTAAATGCATTTGAAATTAGCGAAGAAAATATTCAGATGTTGGTAATAAAAACAAATAGCTGGTTTTATTGTTCGTCCTTCTTCATAGATTGTGTTATTTCACTTCGTGTTTTTTTTTTTTCTGTTTTGAAAAAAAAAAAACAAACAAACAAACAAAACCGACCGAAAAACCTTATATATTTGGGTAGTTTTATCCTGCTCTTTTTAGATATCATGTGCTCAGTTATCATATAAAATCCTCAGTAATATATATGCAATACTAAAGACATCCGGAAAGGCAACATCCATTTTCCATTGGTAGGAATAAAATGTGCTACTCATTTATTGTATACTTTTCAAACATAGTACACTATTTGTTAGTTTTGACTGGAAATGCATAGTAAATGTAGAAATGAAAGTTTAATCTAAAAGCGACAACGGTGGTCAAAATTTTACTGCGATTTAAGACATTAGACATTATGAAAATGCTCTGGATTAGCGTCAGGGCGACAGTACCATCTGCAAAGTTGTCCTTGACCTTAAAAAAAACCCAGTGTCTTCTCGAGTTAACTATGCAAATATTATGAAAAAAGCCTAACAAAATTGCACAAAACAATATAGCGATTTCATTTGAAAAAATTAAGTTACTTTAAATTTATGTTTACTGGCACGTGTAATATATTTCCTTTCTTTGTCGCTTCCTAAAATGAGTAGTTCGAAAATATTTCCAAATAGTTTTTTTTTTTGCTTTATGTCAACAAGCTTAAACTTGATCGTTTACCATTATTCTGCGTTATAAAATTTACCGATATGATGTCTTTGTGTCGATGTAATTGACTGTTTTTGTTTGTTTGTTTTTTAAATTTGTTTTATCTTGCTGTGCATATTCTAAATGAATTAACGCCATTTGAACTTGTTAACAACAGTAACTGTTGCCTGTAGTATTATAAATCGATGGATTTCCTAACTTATTGAATTTATTTTAGGATATGAAGTCACAGACATTGTCAACATCAGGATGGTTTACAGTGGTAAGTAAATCTATTTAAGTTCCAAATATTTTTTTTTCAGCGAATTGAGGGAGGGTCATTTTTGTAAATATATTATGCATAATGGTACTATTATATGACCTGTGATTATGTACGAAAGTCTATTTAATTGTAGATAATACATGCTTTGAACATAATATAAGGAGATGTGGTATGATTACCAATAAAACAGCTTTCCACCAAAGTTCAAATTTCAAAGTTCAATTATAGGCAACCCTATGACCTGCAACAATGAGAAAAACCCATACCGTATAGTCGGCTTTCAAAGGCCCCGACAAGAAAGATATGAAACAATTCAATTGAGCTCACTAACGGCATATTTTATGACAAAACAATTTACTAAAAAACAAATGTACCAACGACAACCACTGAACTATAGGCTCCTGACTTGGGAGAGGCACATACAAAATGTGGCGGGGTTAAACATGTTTGTAAGCGCTCAACCCTCCCTTAACCCGAACATAGTTGGCAAAAACAAACCTTTTGTTTGTTTATTTATATGTTAATCATTTTTTATTTACAATTATCGTTTTCTGATTTACTGTAATTGTATGGGACATACATGTAATGAGAGGGAAACAGCTGTAACTCGTATCGCGAAAGTTCTTCCATGCAAAATGTACTGTTACAGTAGGAGAATGTTTATATGTTAAAAATACAGTATCAAACTTTAAGCGATTGTATGTTTTCGTGTATAATGCTGCTATATCTTGTTTACCTGGATTTAAGATGTAAATAATATTAAATATAACTATTATAGTACATTTATGAAGATCATCATTTACTGTGTCGTACATTTTTCAGGTTTGGAATGATAGCCGATTGGCCTGGAACAAATCGTCCTATGGAAATATTGAATACATATATGTACCTGGAGACTTAGTTTGGCACCCTGAACTGATTGTGCAGAATTCGTACGTAGTTTTACCATACAAATAAAAACACTGTTACAACAATGCAGTTAACAAATACGTGCACATATTATCTTAATTTTGTCTTTATATTAATTTTCTGACATAAGGAATATTTGACAATCAATCATGATTCATAATTTCATTTCAGTATTGATGACTTGAGTAATCTTGGTGATGATACAACAGTTCGTATACGATACGACGGAGAAATACGATGGGAACCATCTGCCATTTTGTCTACGTCATGTGACATGGATGTCACGTTCTTCCCATATGACAGTCAAACTTGCGACATAGAATTAGCTAGTTGGGGTTTCCACACAGATGCCGTCAACCTAACATTCTTGAAAACGAATTTAGATTTACAAGACTACAGAATCAATGGAGAATGGAATCTTGTATCAACCTCTCAGCATTCATCTGAGCTCATAGAAGAAGGACTGGTGTATTCGGAACTCTTGTTCCGAATAGTGTTTGAGAGACTACCCAATTATTACATCATGAGCGTTATAATTCCGGTTATTATAACAGCTGTATTAACATCTGTAACTTTTATACTACCCGTAGAATCTGGAGAAAAGGTCGGATATATCCTGACAGTGTTACTTTCTTTGGCTGTTTTATTGACGTTATTTGCAGACAATATGCCTACAACATCAAAACATACTTCAGTTCTAGGTAAATTTACAGTATACAATTTTACTCGTTTTAATTACTATACCAGAATTTGGATTATTTCACCAACATTCGGAAAGATGTTATAAAACATTGTTCAGATGTTTCCAATAATGACAAGGATGACTGTCCTGTGTTAGATTCAAGATGCAAGAGCAATTTTCATAGATATTGTTATGTATAATAATGCTATTTTAGTAACCAATATCTAAACATACATGGAAAATTATATCGAAAATATGCAATCGGTTCTGCATAACATTTTGACTATCGATTTAAGGTTGGGTAAACTTACACATAACTGGTACTCATATTACGTTCAGAAGTTCTGTAGAATTGAATTATTACTCGAATATTAAATTTTTTTATTAAGGGATTGGGAATTTTTTTCACCAAATAATTATGATATTTTGTTTATGATATCCGATTTTTATTCAAAATGGAAATACAGTCAATCACTTTGAAGTTTATCTTTTAATTGTGCGTAATCATTATTCAAAATATAAATCTTTTTTTCATTTTTCTATTTTTCAGTGGTATTTCTTACAGTAACATTAGGAATGGCCTCCTTTGTGATTATCGTTACGATATTGATAATAAGACTTTATCATGAACCGGATGATTTTATTGCTCCAAACTGGATGCATTCTCTGGCGAGGAAATGCAGGAAATCACAATACAGCGCCGTAGATACAAATCCAGTTGGTCAAAGTGAGTTCACAGAAAATAACCAACCGACAGGCAGTGGAAGCTGTAAAGAAAAAGTTAGTTTGAACAATATTAAACCTTCATACACCAACACAGAACTAGCAGAATTCTTTGATAATTTTCTGTTTGTTGTGTTCACGGTTTTATATGTTTTGGTAACCGTTTGTTTCACTATAACACTATGTGTTGCAGAATAATGGAGGCAGGAAATGAAACATGAGGAATACTTCAAGAAAATCGGCAATCTAGTATAAGCAAATACTGGTTTTACGTGTACATTGCAAGTTAATGTTCGTCAACAATTGTATTACATTACTCAAATGCAAAAGGCTTGTCCGTAAATTGTCTGGAATTTTTTATGCTTTTTCCGATTTTAAAAAAATTGTCGTTTTTAAAATTTGTTGAAGGAAAAGTTGCACAAAAATATAACAAGTATAATCAGCAAGAATAAAAACTGTTCATAAACAATAAACAGTTGTAGTATGTTATCGATTAGTCAATTTTGTAAGAGAATCTGTCATGTACTGTAAGTGTAAACCAACTATACATTCGCGTGTAGATAGATTTTCATCTTCTCTTTAATGAATACATCAGTAACATTAGATACTATCGAAAATGAAGCGTTGCGAATTCGATCAGAAAGAATGGAAAACAGGAAAGTATCAGCGAAATATGTTTGTTAGCAGTATACAAAAGATAAAAAAATAAATTGTTAGCTATATTCAGTAATAAATTTTGATTTAGTATAAAAGATTGATATTACTCAAAATATACATTGTACGCATCATCAGAAATAAAAAAAGACAAGGATAACTGATGGTAATGTGAATATTCAATTTGTATATTGAACAGATATATCATGTTAAGGAGGGGTATTTGCGAAAAATACCAGTCGAGAGAATGTTAAATTTCGCGAGCCGTAAGGCGAGGGAAATTCATTCTCAAGACTGGTATTTTTCGCAAATACCCCTCAAGTACATGCTATATCTGTTTGATTACACCGAATGTTAACGTTCAAAAACGCATTGATGATCGTGACGTTACAAGCGTCCAGTCGGATAGAGTATTTTTTGGCAAATACCACGGCAGAGAGGGTAAAAAAGGCATATCCTTTTTGCATATACCCCGGCGGCGTTAAAAAATGAACGATATTCATTTGATAACAATAAATTGGTGAAAAATAATACACTGGCTATCAACCAATCAAAACCCAGAAATTTTTACATAAGGTGTAATTATGTTTTAGATCTTCACATATCGTAATAATGTAATTAACGGAAATACATATATACAGATAATTATACCAATCATCCATCATTTCAAGTAAAATAACGACACAATGAACGGCTAAAACTAATATAAAATTGAACGTATTTGGAGAAATGTCACTTCGCAAACTAATTTAAGAAAGATGGTTTCATTAAAACATTATGCTCAAGTCAATTTCTTGTCCACTCCTATTTAGAAGTAGCTATTAGTGATGCATTAGGGATATGCACATATGATAACAAACATTTGCACATATTTTAGCGCGATTTAGCTCCTGCATGCTGTTTTAGAGTATTTATTCTCTTTTAAGATTGCTATATATATATATACAGGTATGGTGACTCAATTTGCATTAGCTGATTTTTTCTATTATGCTTTCTGATCTTAAAGGCTAGCTTTATTTATTTCCTCTGTCCTGTTGAGCAAACAAAAGAGAAGGGAAGCTGATTAAACTGCATATCAAATATCAATCACAATTACCGATAATACAGGATGAAATAACTAAATCTTAAACATATTTATGCTGTGATTACGTTTAATTTCTTTTGCAAACCACGTGACTTGAAATATTTTTTTATTCTTTTGTCCGTCTACCAAAATTTCAAAATCACACTTTGTTTCTAAACCATAATTAAGCAATTAGAAGAAAAGGCTTATCCTGTCTAAGCATTCCGTACAGTTGCCTATAATTGCGTATAACATCCACTTCATTAGAAATCTCTTTATTTGTTATCAATAATAATGCTTATTACTATTATTTGTACTCTCTACCTGTATTATATTTTTTTGCGCAAATGAAAAGCGCCGAATCAAATTATAATATGCCACGATTATTGAGATTATTTAAGAAGAAAAAAAATTATGAAGAAAAACGTTATAGCGGTAATGGTATCTATTTATAAGAAACACACTCGCTGATATATACTGAGTGAATAACAGAAGTAAGACCGCCTTCAACCTTGATTAAAACCTATACCGTATAGTCGGCTGGTTCCGACGTGAAAAGTGTTTAACAGTTCAAATGAGAAAACTTACAACCTTATTTATAACAAAACAATTTACGAAAACAAATATGACAGAGTTTATATTAAAAACTTTTATCGCACCGCGGGTAAATTATCACGTTGTGATTGGTTTAACGCCGTCACGTGGTGACCTTCTATGGATCCGTAGGGGGTTAGTAAATTTCATAGGGGGTTCATGACGTCACTTCTACTGTTAATGGTGACGTCATCTATTAATGTTGTTGTGTTTCATTGTTTATTTTTCTACAAAACGCAGCAGAAAAAGTCCCGCGAGCGATAAATTCGTTATACGGTTCACTACTGACCCCCTACGGACCATAGAGGGTGAATAAATCCATAGGAGATTCGGCCTTCGGCCTCACCCCCTATGGATTTTACTAACCCTCTATGGATCCGTAGGGGGTCAGTAGCGAACCATATAACTTATAGTATTATTCCTATCCGTTCGATATCAATAGCTTTTACATCTGTGTACCACGGGGCCGTACGGTTGTACCATGGAGGTAGGATATAAGCAGGATGATATCTCAAAAGTGGAATTTTAAATAATAACAATAGGTCAAACCCAACTATCAACAGCTTTAATTGCATCATACAACAAAGATTAAAGCACTACACTAACTAAAATTACAAGTATATTCTGGTATCAAACTTGTACGCAACAGTCCTTATGCATTTATGCCGCGAAGTGTCGACTCGTACATTCGATTTATCATAAGATAGTCCGTTTTTACTTCCGCACATCGTCTCATTACAGATGGTGTGTCTATGGATCTCATTTACATATAAGATGTACTTTATTACGTCTGTTTAAATGAAAATGGGTTTAGTTTTGTCGTTTGAGTTGTTTAACGTTTTTTATATCTTGGTTTTTTTAACCGACTATACGGTATGGGTTTTTAACATTGTTGAAGGCCGTACGGTTGCCTTTAATTGCTTATATCCTCTTCATTTGAACTCTGTTGGATAGTTGTCTCCTTGGCAACTATCACACCTCTGGTAAATAAGTGACGTTGTGATTGGTTAAACGCCGCCACGTTATGACCCCCTATGGACCCGTATAGGATCAATACTCATGAGACAATCAGAATAATGGAATGCCCTTAAACCATATGCAAAAAGTATGACTATTGAATCACTGAGAGTATTGTATTGTTGTCTTTAATCTATCTCTTTACTTGTGGATTTAGTGTGAAAATTACTAGGAAAGTAATGCGCCTCTGACACAGAACTTATGACATATTACCGTGAATCTATAATATATGTGAAGTTAGCTGGCAGTTCGTTTTTCGATATTCAAAATTTTATACTAAGAATAGTAAAACCTGGATATTTAAAAGAATTCTTAGAAAAATATCCATGTTTCAAAAAAGTAGATACATAGAAAAAAAATACAATAGACATCCATTTCTGAATCCTGCAGATAATAGTTAATTCCATGTCCTCAAAATATCTATTTACATAGAACACCATTATCTAATTATAGTTTACTAATCTTAAACGATACAAATGAATGAAAAATATTATTGTATTACATGACAACGCCTGAATTTTATAAATGAAAGCACGAACATTTTACCCAACGTTTAGAAATATCTAACAATCGAAAGGACACTTTCAACGCGCTTTGTTTTGTTCACACATTGTTGTCAATATACTGGAATTTTATGCGACTGTCATATAGGTGAAAGGTTTAGCTAGCTATAAAACCAGGTTTAATCAACCATTTTCTATATGAGAAAATGCCTGTACCAAGTCAGGAATATGACAGTTGCTATCCATTCGTTTGATGTGTTTGAGTTTTTGATTTTGCCATTTGATTAGGGACTTTCCGTTGGGAATTTTCCTCGAGTTCGGTATTTTTTTTCTTTTTCTTTTTTTTTTGTATTCAAAATGTATCGCAAAAGACTACTAAGGGCCGCTAAAATTACAGTGAGACTTTCCGGATCTTTCAAAGTTAGGCCTGGCATAGATATTACTACTATTAAACCACTATATCTTAACATTCCTTTCCGATATGTACGGGGGACTTTAAGTGTCACTTGACTATAAAATACCAACGAAAATCAACGGCAAAGGACCAGGTGCTACAAATATACCTTCCAGATCTTTCAATCGTCATGAAATTTCGCACAGAGTAAGTTATACGTAAATACGGACACTCTTAATAGGAATTAGTTGAAACTGTGTGTTTTCTTTATTCAAGAAGGACTCAAAATGCCAGTTTGATATTCAAAATATATTGCAAAAGACTACCGGGGTCCGATAAAAATGACAGTGAGAATTTCCTGATATTTAAAGGTCTGTAAAATTTGGGTTACAGTTTAACCAGGCATAGATATTGATAATATCAAAAGAAGACAAGAAGTTTCCCTGAATTCCTCTTGATGTCATTTGTATCTATATGTGAACTAACTATATACATGATATCATGAAGATTAATAGGGGCTAGCCATCGCCCTGGGCCCTTTTAGCTGACTATATTTTGAACATTAAGTCAATCGAAAATATCTATTTCTCGACTTTTTTTTAACTATTTCTTTTTATATTTTCAAATGGTATTACAGTACCCGTTTGTTTTTGTTTTTTTAAAAAACCATGTTTTAAAGTACATCTTTGATTTCATTATATTGATAAAAATCTATATATCATAACCAAATAGAAATATCGTACTACGGAGGCCGGTTAGTGTCAGGGTGTAGCTTTATTTTTAAGTCGTTATAACGACTTAGCCAACTCGTTATAACGACTTAGCTCACCTAACTCGTTATAACGACTTAGTACATTTGTTACTCGTTATATAAAAAATGGTTTAAAATGAACAAGCTTTAACATTATTTCATTCGTGATGGGTTCTATTTAATTCAAAGGGCAAGATAACATGCGTTTTCCTCCTTCTAAAATACGAGTAAAACATTCATCTGCACAAAGGTTAAGTTTCAGACAAAAATTGTGCTGCCAATTTATACTATAAAAATATGCTTCAAGAACTGATGAAGATACTTTTTGTTGAATAAGACTACCCAGAAACAGGGCAACTGTGGAGACTGAGGTGGGTAAATGACAAAAAATATATTTTAAACGCCAGTGCTGATATTAAGAAAAAAAATTGTCATATTTCTTGTTTGTAGCAGTAGTTTTCGTGTTTTTTTTTTACTATATCTGGTAAGAACTGAACGTTCTTCGATAAGTCACTATGGTTCCTGAATTTTCCCAAATCATCCCAGTAACATTGATCTGTTGTAGTTTTTGTAAAATATATCAGAATAATAAATGATAAAGTTCGGATAAAGGAAGATAGTATAATTAAATCTGTATATACATTAAAAATAAAAATAAATGTACTTTAACCCCGCCACATTCGGTATATGCCTGTCCCAAGTTAGGAGCCTGTAAATGAGTGGTTGTCGTTTGTTGATGTGTATCATATCTGTTTTTCGTATTTTGTAGCGCTATCATGTGTCTATTCTGAAAACTAATACATTACTTTG